CTGAATGAAAGAACTTTCCCTGAACTGCGAGCACTTTAGTAAATTCAATAAGTATTAGTACCTAGAGTATCTCTTTAAAATGGCAACATGTAATGCTCAGGTGTGTAATTCCCACTAATCATGGGAAGATCAGGACATAGATACCCCAATTACGCCCCAGAATAGGGAACCTAGACTGAATAAATGTTTTCTGTGCGTTATTACCAGATTGTGTGTGTATGTATGTGTGTGTGTGTGTATGTATGTGTATATATATATATATATATATATATATATATATATATATATCAATTTTATTTATTTTTTTAACATTCCTATAAACGCTGTGCAGTAATTTCTAGATCTGAATAATCCCAGTTACTCTTGTTGGATTGGTTTGATTTCTTTCTTCTAGCTCAGTTTAGACATTTTGTGGCTAACGAAGGAAGGTAATATGGGAAGTAATGTATTATTGCATGACTTCTAAGTTGTAGTACGTATGTGAATATTGTGATGTAGAATGTGACACTAGTGGGGGTTTCTGTATCAGTCTGCATTTTGGGAAGGACTGCCACATTTATTTATTTTCTGATAGAAGGCTTGTTACGCGTTTTAGAGATGTGATAGAAATGAGAGCAATACTGAAGTTGATTTGGATTCTGTCCAACATCACTCCTTCCTTCTCTGTTCTGATCGGGTTAGAGAATGTGTATGGGGGCAGAGGGGGTGAGGACGTTGGGAGGCTTGGTTGTGGACAGAGTGGAGATTTAAGAAAAAAACAATTAAAACAGTGATTTTTAATGTAGTGAGGCTCACAAGCTTCCCTTTGTTAAAGTTGAAATGCACTCTGATGGCAGATGTAATTTTTGCACAGAATTAACATTAGGCCGCTTGGAACAGAGTGACAATATCTCAAGCAGGGACAGTTGCAACTTACAAGGATTCCAAATCAATTATATCCCGATATAGGCATGGAGTCTGTAAGTGTTCCATTGGTAAAATGTATTTAGCCATTACCAGAGTTTCGGTAATAAACAGATACTTCCACGGAATCTGAATGGACTATATGAATGGATATGCACATGGTGCAGAGTGGGCATTGCTAGGACAAAAAAAAACAACTAATATGACAATTTAAATAGAAGAGATCAATGGAGAGCAAAACAAACAAAGATTGGTTTAATGACCAACGGCTTTGCGTGCTGTGGGACATGGGTAAGTGGCAAACCATTGCAGAACAGTTTGCCTTCTTACCGGGGAACAACGCCGCGAGTACTCCTGGCATCCTAGTCACTACAACAGGCTAGTAAAGTAATACGCTTGATCTTTTTGTGGTTGTAGTTCTTACCGTGTTAATTTGTCAGGTCCCATCTAGTTAGTTCCTCAGTGGCACAATCAGTTGTAGGCATCTTTTTCTTTTTTTAAGGACTTTTTCTTTTTTTTAAGGAGTTATAAAATAAATTCACCTGTAAAGTAGTATATCGGTTACTCAAAAATATTCAATGTTGGCAATAACGTTTTTAGAAAATGCAGCCTCTGTAATCTATCAAAACCGAATACCTTTTAACTTGCCAGATACATTTTCATTTGTAAATATCCTCCTTGCATAATGCAGAAGAAAAAACTATTTATATAATTTGTTCTGTTTAGAGAGAAAGCAGTACTGATGACTTTGTCAAGCAAGGGACTGCGAAGACTCGATTACAAGGGAGCCGAGCAAGAGTGGATCATTGTAACCAAGGGAGATAAGAAGAAGGATCAAAGAATAGTAGCACGGAGGGGGAGTTTAGAGTGCAGTGCCCCAGGCAACCACAGGAGAGCAAGCTGGTAATGGTGTACCCCAAGGGAGACCAAGAAATAATAAAGAACCAGCTGCTGAATGCAGGGGATGGATTAGATCAGAGGTGGTGGTAAAATGCTCAATATGATATAATAGATGGTCAAATATGCGGGCCAAAGGAAATCTAGTAAATACTCCAATAATTATTAAGACAATTATTAGCAAAACAAGGATTGGCTGTTTGAATTAATAATTAGTGAGTGTGTGTATGTGTCTCTCTTTATAATTTTTGTGTAGATATATTTTTGTTCTCTTTGAGTGTTATCTCGCAAATAGTAAGAAAGTTGATATTTGGTATTCGTGATTCCACGTATATGTGTGTGTGTGTGTGTGTGTGTGTGTGTGTGTGTGTGTGTGTGTATATATATATATATATATATATATATATATATATATATATATATATATATATATAAAATATATGTTCAAGTAGAGATTGTAGCCGTATTAGTCCAGTGATGTAGATGTAAAAAACAGATAAAATTTGTATCTTGTAATACCTTTTTTTATTGGACTAACATAATTTTTTAATGACAAGCTTTCGGGAGAAACTCCCTTTCTCAAGTCTGAAGCATTTCTGAGCATGTGTCGTTTTGTTAGTCCAATAAAAAAGGTATTACAAGATACAAATGTTTTTTTACATCTCTCTCTCTCTCTCTCTCTATCTATATATATATAGATATATATATATCTATATATATATAATTTTTTTTTTTTTTTTAATATATATTTGCAGGATCTGCTCATTATTTCATCAGGCAGATTGTTGTTTCTGATGAATGCATTGCATGTTGGATGATATCATTCGTTCTTTATTTCCAGAGCAAAATAAAATATGGAGGCTTGTAACGCTTGACAGTGTCGGCAGCTACAGTTTCCAGTCTACCCAAGATTAGTCAAAGTATAACATCCCAAATGACAGCTGCTGAAGGCTACTATAAAGTGAAACTCCCAATCATGTCTAGCAGATCGGGAGATGTATGTCCCTCTGCTAACCTGAGATTAAGGGAGCCTTAATGGGACACTGCAGTGAACAAACAACTTTAGCGTAATGAATCGGTTTTGGTGTGTATATCATGGCCCCACTGCTCAGTGCTCTGCCATTTAGGAGTTAAATCACTGTATTTATTCTGCCCTAGTCACACCTCCCTACATGTGACCAATACAGCCTTTCTAAACACTTCCTGTAAAGAGTCATCTGTTTACACTTTATTGGAAATTCTGTTTAATTTAGAATTTAACTCCTGCTATAATAGCTTGATAGACCCTTCAGGAGCCTCCTGTATGTAATTAATGTTCAATTTACAAAGCAGGAAATACAAACTTTTAAAGTAAGTTACAGCTGATTTTAATGCAGGTTGTGTCAGGGGAGGTGTGGTTAGGGCTGCATAAACAAACAAAAGGGATTTAACTCCGTAATGGCAGAGAATGGAACAATGTGACTTTAGAGGCATGATCTGTACACAAAAACTGCTTCATTAAGCTAAAGTTGTTTTGGTGACTACAGTGTCCCTTTAACACATGTATCTTTTATATTCCATGATTTTTTTAAGTGTTGGGACATTAATGTGCATGTTGGGGCAAGCAATGCCATCTCATGTTGATGTGTTCCTGTAATACGCCACTCTTATTTATGTATAGCCATGTATGTATGTATGTGTGTGTGTGTGTATGTATGTATGTATGTATGTATGTATATATACCGTATATACTCGAGTATAAGTCGACCCGTATATAAGTCGAGGCCCCTAATTTTACCCCAAAAACTGGGAAAACGTATTGACTCGAGTATAAGCCTAGGGTGGGAAATGCAGCAGCTACTGGTACATTTCTAAATAAAATTAGATCCCCCAAAAATTATATTAATTGAATATTTATTTACAGTGTGTGTATGTATAATGAATGCAGAGTGTGTGTTTTTGTGCAGTATGTGTGTGTAATGAATATAATGAATGCAGTGTGTGTGTGTATATAATGAATGCAGTGTGCGTGTGTGTGTTTATAATGAATGCAGTGTGCGTGTGTGTGTTTATAATGAATGCAGTGTGCGTGTGTGTGTTTATAATGAATGCAGTGTGTGTGTGTGTGTTTATAATGAATGCAGTGTGTGTGTGTGTTTATAATGAATGCAGTGTGTGTTTGTGTTTATAATGAATGCAGTGTGTGTGTGTTTATAATGAATGCAGTGTGTGTGTGTTTATAATGAATGCAGTGTGTGTGTGTTTATAATGAATGCTCTGTGTGTGTGTTTATAATGAATGCTCTGTGTGTGTGTGTGTGTTTATAATGAATGCTCTGTGTGTGTGTGTGTTTATAATGAATGCTGTGTGTGTGTGTTTATAATGAATGCAATGTGTGATGTAGAGTGTGTAACCTTGGTGGGGGCGGGGCATTTTTATTTATTTTTGTTATTATTTTAATATTACATTTTATTTATTTATTTTAATATTATAAAAATTTTATTTTATTTTATTATATTATTATTTACATTTTTTTCCTCCCCCCTCCCTGGTTGATACATGGCTCGAGAGGGGGGGCTTTATTATTCCCTGGTGGTCCAGTGGATGGGCTGTGCAGGAGGGGAGCTGGGAGTAAGCTGTTACCGTTACAGCAGCTCCGTTCAGCTCCCTTCTCCTCCGTGCCGTTCAGCTCCAGTGTAAATCTCGCAGTCTGCGTGCCGCGCGGAGCGTTGCCACGGTAATCCGAGGCAACGCTCTGACGGCTGCGGCTCTAGCGAGACTTACACTGGAGCTGAACGGCACGGAGGAGAAGGGAGCTGAACGGAGCTGCTGTAAAGGTAAGTAACAGCTTGCTCCCAGACCCCAACAGGACCTCATTACAAGCCTGGCGGTCCTGGTCTGTATTATGGCAATGTAAGTTGCCATAATACAGACACTGACTCGAGTATAAGACGAGTGGGGCTTTTTCAGCACAAAAAATGTGCCGAAAAACTCGTCTTATACTCGAGTATATACGGTATACATACATGAAGAGAAGACATACGCAAAGTGTGTATTAGGGGAAAATATCAGTTTTTCTGCCCCCAAAATGATATAGTAGACTAAAACCATTAAAAATGGTTCTGTATGATAAGCATTTCATGACGTTTGAAATTACTGACATACCAGCTGCTATGGAATGCAATGTACAGACCCACGTGTGTCCTCTGTAGTGATGATTAATTGTGTGTGTGTGTGTGTGTGTATATATATATGTGTATGTGTATATATATATATATATATATATACACACACACACACACACACACACACACACACACACACACACACACACACACACACACACACACACACACACACACACACACACACACACACACTCTCCTGTGGTGCCCGGTGCTGGTCTGGCAAGGATCATGTAGACATAGCAGAAATGACCGCACTCCAAGGACTTTATAGAGATTTTCAAAGAAAATGCAACTTTTATTCAATCCATTTAAATGAATTGAATAAAAGTTAAATTTTATTTGAAAATCTCTATAAAGTCCTAGGAGTGCGGTCATTTCTGATGTGTGTGTGTGTATATGTATGTATTCTAAAATCTAAGCATTTGACAGCAATTCTGTTAGGATATGTAGATGGAATTGAGTGTGCTTTTATTTTATGAAGAAAACAAATACACACAAAAATCTCTGTGTATTACAACTTCTGCCTAAAATGTGACTCCCAACAATCTTGGACAGCCTGCCTTTTAGTTGAATTACAATTTAGGGTTCTACAATTTACAGTGTTTGCATAATGTGATGTACCATATGAAAACTTGGTCACAAAACTCACCGATCACTACCTGCTCTCCCTAACGCACTCCAAAACAAGTCAAATAGGTGATCCAGTTGACATTCCCTATTACCCTACTCTCAACAACTGTTGTCCTGTAAAGTTCTTAGACACTTACTCTTCCATAAAAATCTCTTTTCCCAACCTTTACTATTATTGTATGGAACAACTCTTACCACTTTCATGTTATATGTATGCCTCTTGCTTAGAAGACTTGGTCTTAACCCCTCAGAACACACAAGTCACTCATTTTGTATAAGAGCAGCATCTATTGCCTCCAGTAAAAATGTGCCAGCACACATTATTAAAATGTTAGGATGTTGGAAATCCTCAGCTTATTCACCATACATACCTCAACCTGTAGAAGAGTTACGTCAAGATTTTCTCGATATGTCTATGTAAATGATGGCATGAAAATTGTAGCTTGAATAAATTATAGGTTTGGTATCCTCTATTTTTGCCCTCTTTATTACAGGCCTACTGCATCGTCGGTTCCGGCACACCAAAACCGACTTGTGAGATATGAGGTATCACGTATATACCCACTATCCAACTCGTTACGGCTTTGTGCCCCAAACACAAGTGTATATATATGTGTGCATATTCGCCTAGATGTACAGATTTAGCTCACAGCAATTCAATCAAGATTTTTCACTATAGTGAGAATTTAAAGTGAATTCCAAATTGTAGAACAAAAAAGTCCAACTGGAAACATAGCTGACTTTGAGAATAATTCCAATTCGGCTGTATGGGCCTTACATTTAAAATCCACTTTGAAGTGTCAATTTAGTAATGCCCTTTGTCCAAATTTGGTCAGAACAGTCCCAATTTTTGAGGTCTTGTCTTGCCATCCAAACCTTTTGTCCCTGGCATCCTACTTTGGGGGACACCAGTGAACTGTCCCCAAAAGTGTAGCAAGAGCATATCATTGGACACCTTTGTGCTACATTCTGGGCACTAGGACCCTACTCGAAAGATCTTACGTCCCAGGGGCAACACAGTCATAGTTGTTATACATAGAATGGACAATAGGTACCAGTGTCTTAGTTTTGTCCAAAATGACCACATATCTCAGGAATGGGATATTTATTTATAGAGTAGTATAGCCCCTGAAATCCAGAGTTATTGATAAATTATACAGTGCTAACCAGAGTTATGAATCATGGCTACGTCACCATAAACAGTCATAAGCCTATGCTAAGTATTTAAGGGGAAACTGGTATTGCTCCGACATGGGGTTACTGAATAAAATATTGCCAGTTAGTGCTGGCTTATCCTTTCTATTGATTGTAATTTTATCATTTGAAGAATGTGTGATCTTTTAAAACAGATTTATAACATCAGGTTTAAAGGAACACTCAAATGTTTGAAATGCAAACCTGTATTCCTCTTGTTAGAGTGTTTACTTAACTATTTAAATTATTGGGTCCCAATTTATATTTATTTTAATTTTAATGTTATACTTACCTTTAGTTCCCTGGTGTGCCGGACTCACTACAGCTGCCACTCCTCCACGGACTGAGATCATTGTTACAGATGATCACGGCCAATCCAATTCTGACCCATAGGGACGCACTTTGGGGACTTTTGCGCATGTACAGCAAACGCCACTCTGTGCTGAGCAACATTTCCTCACAGAAATGTATAGGCTCAATGCATCTCTACACAAGTGTTCGGTCCTGCAGAGATTGCAGGACCTCTCCAGGTGGTGCCTGAGTTCTAATGTGTGCCTGAGTGGTGGCTAGTGCATGCAATGTAAACTCTACCTTTTATCAGAAAAAACTGTGTTTACATTGTTAAGACTGCAGTGACAGTCTTTTTACATCAGTACCACTACATTAAGCTGTAATGGTTCTGGTACTTATAGTGTCCATATAAGTCCATTTTACACTGTGTTTGTATGTGAGCCCTAAATACTACAATGTATATATTATATTTTAAACCTACATTAAGCTTATCTTGCCACCTAATGTTTTCAAGTACACCTGTTAATAAAAATACTTGATAAATTATGTGTTCAATTCCAAAATGCTATGATCAGATCAAGATGCCAGGTGGAAATCAGAATTATGTTTAATTTAAACATTTTGTGACTATTTCTCACTATCTATACTTTACTTTTTAAGATTTCCAAGACGTTGCCCAGCTCACTAAAAATTTAGAAATACGATGGCAAATAAGATTTTCAAAAAAAGTAATATGTCAAATTTTACCTTGTGCCTAGTAGTTGAGCAAAATCACAAACTGGTTATAGATATAGCTATTTAAATGTTATTAAGATGTGATGCAAGTGCCCTGACAAGGGGCTGGAAGCAGTCTATTTCGGAGTGTTTCCACAAGTTCAGTTGAGTGCAAATGCACTGGCTACTGCTATGTCTTGTCAAAAACTGTGAACATCGCTTGAAGAGATACGTGTCTGTGCTGACAGATTTCTTATCAGTGTTTTGAGCTGTCACTGAGGTGTATAGACATGTCTCTGGAATAACATAAATACAATATATTGCAGAGAAGATGATGTGCAAACTAGCGAAATGTTTCCCTGCAAATTATTGACATCATTAGCAGAATGAAGCATCGTAAGCAGCCTTGGAATCACCAGACTAGATCCTTATACCATAGATTTAATTTTTAAAATAAAAATATAGAATATTTTGTATAAACTTAGCGTATTATTTTTCAATTTCTCTGGTTGTAAATACCCAATTAAGTTATTTCCTTCAGATCGTTTAGTGGTTGAAAGCTGTGGGAAAGATTCAAATTATGCTACAACTTAATTTTCTGATTCTTATGTCAGAATGAAAGGGATATCTGAATCACACCTAATTAGACACAATTCTAATAGTCGGTAGACTGACCACATATTTACAGTTTCACAATCTAGAAGTTCTCATGCAGCCACTTGCTGTCTTCAAGCGAAAGGATGTTGCTGTACTTTAGTAAATATTGCATTTTACTAAATGTAATGTTACGCAGCGCTCTGCATGAACCTCTATATAACACGCATTTAGCACTCTCTGTGTAAACTTTCAGCATTTACTATAATTTATCTATATAGCGTTTATTTGAGAACCAAACAAAACACACATGTATAAATAGTAAATTCAAAGAGAGCAAAAAACTTTTTTAGTCAAACTAGGATTTCTTTATATTTTATTTGAAAGAACTTCTTGTGACTTGGTTTTTCACTTACATTTTTTAAACCAATGAGGGCCCAGGTCTTCAAACTTAGCATAATCTTAGAGTTTTGTTAATATAAGAAGTAAAACCCCTCAACATTCTGTATCTGAACATTTAATAAATTCTATAACAGCGACCCAGGACTATTGACATTTGTAGGGTTAGAACAAGTTACAAACCATTTATTTTACATGCCTAAATTTTATGTATTGAATATTCGTATATACATAATTGTAACTTTGTTTTATTTTTACTTTTTCCTATTATCATATCCTCTTCATTATGAGCTTGGACTCTAAATCACGTTGTAACCATTTATTATTGAAACTGTTACATGTCTGCCTCCATCACCCAATAGGAGTTCTCCTAAGAAGGCCATGAACTTGGACTCTAAATCATGTTAGAGCCATTTATCATTGCAACCAATAACATGGCCGCCTCCATCACCCAATAGGAGTTGTCCTAAGAAGGCCATGAACTTGGACTCTGAATAACGTTGGAACCATTTATCATTGCAACAGATAACAGTCACCTCCATCACCTAAAAGTGGTTATCCTAAGATGTCCATGAACTTGGCCTCTGAATCATGTTGCAGCCATTTATCATTGGAACCAATGATATGGCCGCCTCCACCCAACAAATAGTTCTCTCAAGAAGGCCATGAACTTGGACTCTGAATCATGTTTGATTCATTTGTCATTGGAACTGATAACATGGCTGCCTGCATCACTGAATAGGAGTTCTCCTAAGATGGCCATTGCAAATTCCATAACCCAAGGACAGATTGGAGATACATGAAATCCAACAATGCGATTAGACATTTTTTAAACAGAATGCTGATTGGAAATTTGCCAAAACCGAAATACCATTTCTTACAAGACTTTCACTTCTAGTTGAAATGTGTACATTTCCTACACTTGGCTATCAAATCTCTTCCTACTGGCTGCAGCATTTATGTGATTAGAGAGATGAACAGATATTTTGAAAATTATTTGTTTAGGGATCGAAATGATGATCTACACATTTAACACTTTGCTGATTTTAAATTCCTTTGTTGAAGACCTGAGCTTAGTTCATTGCGTATGTGTGTATGTATATGTATATGTATGTATATGTGTGTATATATATATATATATATATATATTCTCCTGAAGATTCCTATGTGTATTTCAATGAACAGATCTCATCTTTTTTTTAATTTTTCTCCTGTGAAATTGTTGTATGATATGGGCTAAATCCATTTTTTTTTTTTTTGACAGTCTTTATTTATTCTTTTTACAGTCATTTAGTGAGTCA